AAAATCCTGGATTAGACCAGGAAGTTGTGGCCAAGACCACGGGCACCTACCACTCCAGCCCTGTGACCTGCCATAGAACTCTCACCTGTGGAATCACAGAAAGTTACTCTCACTAGTCAAAAAAGAGGAAAACGCTTCCCCATTCCAAGTTCATCCAAGCCCTCCATTCCTGCTCCCTCACACCCATATATCATCAGCCATTTCCTTGCCTGTCCCCAGGCTCCTAGTCAGACTTACTCACTGACACACAAATCCTCTGGGACATGGCTAACTTCTTGACTCAGCTGAGGCACGCCTTGGGAAATGGGGGTGAGATTTGGTCTTTCATGCCTCTCCCAGGCCATGTGGCAACGGCTGCCCCAAGAGTATGCCCTGAATACCATCTGCACACATCTCTCCTGGTTTGGAGCTGGAGAATGGACACCTATGGCCCTCAATTTGGTCCTCACCCCCAAGCCTGTCTGTCCTGAAATCCCCACTTTCCCCAGGCTCCATGCCAACCCCTGTTCTAGTCTGACTACTCTACTCCAACTCCCTTCCTGACTCAAACTCCCTAAGCTCATCTTCTGTGTTCATGGTGTCCCCACCCTACAATCCCTCATTGCTTTCCAGACTCCTAGCTCCCCACAAAATGCTCATCTCCTCCCCTTTGCTCTTTATCTCCTGTCCCCTGTCCCATGTCTCCTGCCAAACTGTACATCTGGTGCTCCAGGTTGCCTTCAAGAACTGAGTCTTCAAGAACCTTATCTATTCCTTCAGCCCTGTGTCTTATCCCACACACCCATCCAAGTCTGGGAGAATGGCAACCCTCTCCCCGCCCCCGCCCCTGCCACACACACACACACACACACACACACACACACACACACACACACACATCACCACAGCAGATCTAGTGGCTCTTCACTCAAAAGTTAGGTCAGCCTCTCATTCATATTCCTCAAACCCATCCTGAGCCCTTCCCAAAATAGCCCACCTGTAGGACACCCTTAGATCCCCTTGAACCAATATAATGCCTGATATCTCCCAATACTCTCCTGGCTTTACCACTTCTCATCTTGACTCTGAGCAGACCCTAACCCTCCATGGCCCCCATCTATGCCCACCTCTGCTTACCCACAATCCACATCTGGCTGAATCTCCATGGATTTAAGCCAACCACCCCAGAGGAGAGATTTATTTCCCTTTTCACATGATCTGTGGACTCTCTAAGGACAGACATGTGGAGTTTGTGAAAACATTGAAAAAAGATTCAGGACACTGATGTCTGGCCTGAGCCGCAGGTCACAAAGGGCTAGCTAGACACAGGGTCATCCAGTACAGGCCTGCAGGTGGCTGACGAGACAGGGACCTGCTTATTTGCTGGAATTGTTGAGTTCCATGACAGAATATTTCACAATTCTGAACATTTGTTGACTCAATTCAAGTCTTCTAAGGACTTTCTACCTTCACAACAAATCTGTTTAAACAGTGCAAAAATTTATGCAGAGTTTAATAACATAGAGGAGGGCAGGTGTTTCATTCATATTTCAAATACAAACTGAGCAGCTCACTTTCATAGAAACTGATAAGGATGGTGATGTCACACTGATAATCCCCAGCATCTTTCCTTCTGACTGGGTCTATGGTGAGGGTTCTGTTGCTTCAGGACAGCTTCATGCTGTTACGTATCATGTTATTGGGTGAGGATCACAGTTGAGTAGCAGGTCAGGACCACAGCATTCTCATGCCCTGTGACTGTGGTGTTGCTCTCTTGGAGGGTGGGCACTCTTGTGGGCTCTGCGAAAAGATCAAGGACTGATTGAGAGTGGGCTTGAGACTTGGGGTCCTGCTACATTCTGAGACATCTCAGCCACTCACAGTCCCCAGTGAGCTCTGTAAAGGTCACCAGAGGATGGTCCTGACCTCTGCAGAAGGACAATTGTCTTTGTTCAGGTGACAATGTGTAAGGAGAGGGCTGCACTTCTCTGACCCCACATAACCCCAGCGTGACCCCTGACCTGTTCCCCAGACATCTCTGTAATGTCAGCATAGGGAACACCTTCCCCGATGATGTTTCCTAAGACTTCATAATCACATAGTAGTTTCTGCTCATGAGCTTTTATTAATTCTTTCTGTCATTAACTTCAAAAAGATGAGGTCCCACTCTTTATGTAAAATTCCATGCATGTTGTGGAAGGCAGGCTACCACCTCTGTCCATCTCTGGGGCCAAGGGAACTTTATAGAAAGTGAAAAGGCATTTACCTCTTTTTAAATAATTCATTAGGCAATAAAGATGGCCCAACCTAGTCTTCATGATTTTGGAAGTGGAGAAGTTCCAGCTAAATGACTTTTCAGTCTAAAAGGACTTTATTTCCTGGCCTGCAGATTGAATATCATGGTAAAATAAGTCTCTAGAGAGAAGTGGTTATAGTTTTTTTTTTTTTTTAAATATATTTTATTGATTTTTTAGAGAGAGGAAGGGAGAGAGACAGAGAGTTAGAAACATCGATGAGAGAGAATCATCGATCAGCTGCCTCCTGCACATCTCCTACTGGGGATGTGCCCGCAACCCAGGTACATGCCCTTGGCCGGAATCGAACCTGGGACCTCTCAGTCCGCAGGCCGACGCTCTATCCACTGAGCCAAACCGGTTTCGGCAGAAGTGGTTATAGTTTTAACAAAAGACAGGAGCTGTAAGAATAGAAGGAAACTATTCAATATGATAAAGGCTACACATGAAAGCCCACAGCTAACCCAACATTCCATGGAGAAACTTGGAAAATGTTACTAACATCATGAACAAGACAAGGATGCTGTTTTCCTACTTACTCACTATAGTAGTGGAAGAACTGGCTGGAAAACTCAGGCAAGATGATAAAATAAGAGGTATCCAAATTGGAAAGGAAGAAGAAAAATTATCTTTTAAAAAAACAACATAATCATATATAGAAAACCCTAAAAATTTCACCACACACACACACACCAAAAAAAAAAAAAAAAAAAGACCTGATAAAAAAAGGCAAAGTTGTTGCTGACAAAATCAACACTCAGCATCATTTCCATTTTTTTTCAACAAAAATGAACAATGCCAAAATAAAATTAAGAGAACAGTTCCATTTAAAATAGCATCAAAGAGACTAGAATACTTAGAATTAAGTTAATTAATAAGATGAAGATATATGCACTGAAAACTACCAAATGTCTCTGAAAGTAAAGAAGAAACAAAATAACTTGAAAAACATCCATGTTCACGGGTCGGAAGACCCCCAAATATCTTCTTATTTGATATGATCCTTATCTAATTCTGTACGACTTTTTTCATAAATAGGAAAATCCATTTTAAAATTCATAATGAATTTCAATGGACCCACAAATTGTTTCAATAATCTTAGAAAAAAGAACAAAATTGGAAATCTCTCCACTCTCAGAGCGCTGTTGTCCCCAGGAGACCCCAGCATGTCCCTGTCTTTCCTGCTTCAGTCCACCCCCCAGGGATTGTTCCTTCCTTACCAGCAAACAGGAGCCCCTGCCAGGGGATAGGTCCTCTGCGGATAAGGGCTGAGAGTGAGTCCATGGTGTCTGCTGCCTGCACTGTCCTTCCCTGTGCGAGAAGAGCTTAGATTCCAGGAAAGCTCAAAGGCACCGCTGTACAAACTTTTGGGATCTGCTGTCTCTCTTCTCTGTGCACTGGGCCTCCTCCTGGTGCAAGATCACTTACCTGGTCACGTGGACCAGTGCGGAGTTTGTGACAGGGACCCACATCCTCTTCCCCTCATTTTTGCCACCATTTCCCCCTCCTTCCAGCTTACCATTCCTCTAAATGTTGGTTGCCTTGGAGCTGCTGAGGTATCTGAACACACACAGACACTCACATGCTCTGTTTGGAAAAGCACCAGGCTGGGACATCCAGGTCATACGCATTCCCCATGGCTCCCAGTCAGGTGCACAGTAGCCTCCCCCACAGCCCTCTCTCTTTCACATTTGACTTTTCCCTTCAGAGCAGGAGTTCTGGGGCCACCTCAGGAACTCTTCTCACAGGGATGTCACCACCGCTGTGCATCGGATCACCTGTGAAACTTTGTAAAGATTGCGATGCCCAGGTGACACCATAGATGCTGCTTCAGCAGCTGTCCAGCTAATGTGGATGCCCAACCAGGATGAGATCTGGTGATGTGGTGATGGGACACCCGTCCCCCCTCTCCTGTGCACAGGGAGGGTCTCCACATCCTATTAAAATGCAGATTCTGACTCGGCAGGTGTGCAGTGGACCAGAGACTCTGCATCTGATGAGCTCTCAGGGAAGGTGGGTCTTACTGGCCTGTGGAGCCCACTTGCAACATCAAGGCTGATGGAGGCATGTGTCCCCTGAGAGGATGACCCTCTCACTCCAGCATTGGCCTCTGCTGTGTCTTGGTCTTGGGTCTGTCAGCACCACACAGGGAGTCCCACAGGCCCCAAACTGGGTATTATTTCTGTTTGTGACACAGAAACCCAGCTGGGCACCGGGTGTGCAACATGTTCTCAAATGCGCTGGGAAGGTTGGATTTCCTCCCAGCAGAAAGGCCACAGAGGTGACTGTGGGGGTGAGAAGGGGTCAATCTGGGTGATGAATGCAGAAGGTACCCTCCCTCTATCTCAGGATGTCACCAGCCTGCCCTTTGCTTCCAGGGACAGAGACCCAGGACCAGGAGTCTCAGGAGGCCCTGCAGTTCCAGGGAGTGAGGAGGAAGGGGTCCTGCATGTCCTGGGAAGAGAGGACTGTGGGGGAAGCTCAGGTGGTGTGGGCTCCCTGGTCGTCAGCGGTAGTTTCTGGGAGACCTTCCCTCTCTGTGGGCTGAGCCTGTCCTGGTGCTCCCTGACCTTGGGCCGGTGTCTGCTCTCTGCCTGGGGGAGTTTCCTTTCATTACCCCACCTTGTTCAGGGGTGGTGACAGGCATGGGACAGGGAGCAGCAAATAGAGCCCTGAGAAAGCAGGTGCTCTTGGGCCTGTTAAAGTAAGAAACTTCCCAACCTGTGAAAATTTTCATGAGTTTATTTGAACCAAGCTAACATCATATGCCTGGAACAAGATCTCAAATCTTAGCTTGGCAGTTGTGCAACTGATTTTATACATTATAATAAAAAACAGAAGATGGAATAGGTTGTGTGAAAACCATTAGGAAGTGAAGAAATCTCTAGAATTGATAAATAGCAAAATGGAGAAACAGTTTTTTTTTTGTTTTTTTTCTTTACTTTGATGGGTCCAGGCTAATTAACATTTACAGCACATAGAGAGGTTGTGCAAGGAACCAGGTAACCTAAGAAGTATGTTGTCTCATATGCTGGTCCCAGAGTCTTGTGCCTTCAAATCGTCTTGCAAAAGAACAACTACTCTGATGTATCAAAGGTATGTTATCCAAGATGCATAAGAACAGGGAACAGGGCTCACTTAACGTAACGTCTGACCTTTGCTAACGAAGCTGTAGGCCTGGGACATGACTCCCTGCCATCACCTGCCCAGTAAGGAATTTGTGATCAGACCATCCTGTGCAGTTATTTTTGGTCCCTGAGCATGTCAGGACTGCCATGTGTCCTGCTGGGCTTGTCAGGCTTATTTACAGCCCATTTTTGTTGTTGTTGTTGTTTTATTCACAGTCCCTAGAAGTAGCAGGTGGGATACAGCAATCATGAGGGCGGAGTCCAAAAGCATCTTTGGGAGCAGGGGATGGAAATCAGGCTCCTTCTCCAGCTCCTTAGGCAAAGCCAGGTTCATGTGTGAATTCCCTGTATTGTCTGTGTGTCTAAATGTCGCCCCCTGGAGAGCAGAAGATGACCTGCAGCCAATGTCAGGTGCTGCACCAGGGATGCTGACCAGAGAATGAGAGCTGACCCTGACACCTTGGTAGAGGTGGGCTCTGGCCTTCAAGCTTAAAGGCCAGTCAGTCGGGGTCCAGTCACTGTGGGCTCGAGGCCTCCTGACTCCATCTCAGAGCAGGGTCAGCCCAGTAAAAGGACAGGATATGGGGCTGCCTTCATCTCAGAGAGGTTGAGGGTCCAGAGGATTATGAGTCTAGTGTCATTAGAACTGTCCTCTATGGTCGATGTCCTGTTTCAGGAGGAACTCTCTGTCCCATAGGTTTCAAGAACAGGACCTGGTGATGTCTCTTCTGAGGTTTTTAGTAGAGTGTGCCAAACTGGAGGGCTGATCCTCTAAATGCTCTGTGCGTCTCCATCATTGCCTTGGGGTGTTGCATCCAAGTCACCTGTGTCCCTGTCCATTCTCTATGGTAGTCCTCCCCACAGGGCCCAGGATCTGAAGCCACTCCACTTGGCGTGTCAACCACAGGAGCTGTGGGTCCCTCTGTTAGGGGAGGGGAGGCCCCTGTGGACCCTCAGTCCTCTGAGATGAAAGCAACGCCAGATCCTGCTTTCTCCTGTCCCATCTGCTGAGGAAGTTCCCCTTGTTCCCCAGGACATCATGGGCGGGTGTGATGTTCAGAGACAACAGGCAGGTGTCCCACAGACCAGGCACCTTGGGTTTGGGAGTCATCCCCGGATTCCTTTGAGGTCAGTGTGAGCTCTCTTTCCCATGGTAGTACCTCTACATGGGGTGAAAGATCCAGAGTGTCTGCCAGGTCAGGGCTCTGTGAGAAGACAAAGAACAGAGGCTACTGTCCAGGCCCCAGGCATATGAAAGAACATTCACAAGGTGGAAATGGGGAGGGCTGTGATTTTCTGGGAATGAGGGAAGGTCTGACTCTTCACTCTTAGTTGGTCCTATCTCCCTCCTCCCTGATTGTGTAAGGGGGTAAAAACCCATCCCTAGGTCATCCCCACACACTTGTGGCCTCCTCCCATGCTGATACCAATGCCTTCATGACTATAAGGAACATAGTTTGACCACTAGTGTCACACAGGGTGACAGGATTCCATTGGGTGGTTTCTCTCATCCATTTAATGAGTGTTTACTGAGCATCTGTGACGTGCCAGGCCTGGAATGTGCCTTGGGACCTGAGAGAACAGGACATAGGTTGGACTTGTGCTCACGGAGTTTACCTTGTAACAAAGACAGGCTCTCAGAGAAATCACAGCACTAATGGTTAATTATAATCCAGTGAAGGACCACGAAGAAAGTGTTGCATGTAGTTGAGTCTCAGTTTGTCTGGGGATCAAAGAGAGCACTTCTGAGAAAGTGCCCTCTTGGCTGAGACCTGAAGCATGAGTGGCCGTTCAACCTTTGGACAGAGGGGGATGGGGAAGAACTGCCTGCACAGGACTGGACTTTGTGGGCAGATACCTGACTGGATAGAGGAGCTTTTGAAGTCCAGTGTGGGCAGTGTGAAGAGTGAGAAGGCATGTGGACTGAGTAATGCTGGTGAGGTTGGACCCTGCTGGGCTGTGGGTGCTGCTGAGGTTGGGTGAGCAGACATCTTAAGAGGCTTCAGGCTCTGGAGTAGTTCATCCCCTTTAATGGACAAGGTGAAAAATGTGCAAGAAAAAGTCATATTACAGTTTTGAATTTTCTATTGAACTTATACTTTAAGCAATATTTATATGTGTATATTAAAATTCACATGTTTATTGACTTTTAGTTCTCATATAATAAACTTACCATATTGAAAGTGTAGAAATTATTAATCTTTGCCAGATGAATGCACCAGAGAAGTTGTTACAATCAAGAAAATGAACATGTTCTTCACTCTTAAAGCCGCCGCAAGCCCTTTTATAATCTCCTCACTCTGTCCCTCTGCCACTCCCTCCAACTCTTATCTGCTTTCGGTCATTATAGATGAGTTTGCATTTTCTGCAGTTTTCATAATTTGAACCATATAATGTGTAATTTTGGGTGAACGTTGGCTTCTAGAATCAACGCCATTATCTTCAAATAGTTCTTTCCTTTTTAATCCCTCAGGTCTATTCCATTGTAGGATGCACCAAACTTGTTTAGCCATTCGCCCATTCATGGACATTGTGTTGATTCCCATTTTGGACTATTTCAGGTAAACTGGGCATTAACACTTGTGCAGAAAAGTCTTTAGCACAGAAATAGGTGCATGTAAAACCAATGAAGGGCCAGAAAAATGGAAGTCAGGGAGTGCGCACAGGAAGTCTGGTTTCAAGGTCCCACTGACACAGGCCCAGCCAGAGGGAAAGAAACACCTACTTCTTCACATAAAGCTGTGTCAGCAGAGCCCACCCACCAGGAGCAGGAATCACAGCCCCTTCTCCCTTCCAGAGTCAAAACTACACACAAGTGCATCTCAGAGGCTGAAATTAATTCACACCTGTCTTCCCAGTCATTAGAAGTGGGAAGGGTGGTATTTAACCTTTCAGCCCCTCTGGTATAGGAGGAAATATAGAAAGGGGTGGAGCGTATGTGTCACGTGCCAATAGATAATACATGGCATGGTTGAGTTCACTTGCAGGCTCTTGACCCTGGGCGAGTGATCTCACCTCAAAATACCTCAGTTTCCTCATGTGATTTCATTGAAAGATATTTCCTGGTTCTTAGTATAGAGCAGTTTAAATTCTTGAAATTTTCTGAGTGATATGGGCAATAAGAGTGTCCTTTGTCCCAATGAGGCAACCCCTGACAGGCCTCTGGATAGTTGCAGGGTGAGGACAGGTTGCCATAAAGGCCAAATCTTGATTAGAAGCCTGGAATTTTCAGCTGCTAACGTAAGAAACATTTAAACCTGTAGAGAATTTTTATGAGTTTATTTGAGTCAGACTGACGACTATTTCCAGGAAGCAAAATCTCAACAAAAAGAGTCTGTTTTGCACCATATGTTATACATTACAATCAAAGCAAGGAGGCATAAGAGATTAAATAAAATCCATTGATGATAGATTAGGAAGGTGGGAGAAAACAAAACAGGGAATCTCTGAGTTTGGATAAAAAGTAAAACAAATAGACACATACTTCTTTTGCATTGGTTGATAGAGGATAGTTAGCAGCTAACAATTAACATGATGACAATAGCAATGAGGGGTTCTGTGGCTTCTTCTCTGGTGCAGTGAGGGTCTAAAAAAATGAAAAAAAAATTTCCTGATATTCAAAAGTAACTTTTCATGAGTGCAAAAATACAATAGACATGTTCAGTTAACATAAAGATTCAGCTTTCTTAGGAAAAAATAGCTAAGACATAGTTACCCACCATGACTCACTTTTAGTAGAAAGTTGTAATTTAAGGCCATCCTATGTGGTTACTTTAAGTCTCTGATTTTGCAAATCATACTATGCAGGCCTCCTCTGAGCTTCTCAGCTTTAGTACGTGGCCCCATTTTCATCCACACTTCCCCCTTTGGGTCATAAATCAAACGGAATAATTCACTGATGACCAACCTTTTGGTTGGAAAATGTGGTTTCATGGTGCTAGAAAGGCTCATCAGTAGGAAGTCTTAGTTTATCTAGCTGAACTATGGACTGTTGGGGATAGGGCAAGACTGTAACCTTGGATGGAAGTCAAGGTCAAATTTTCTCAAAAGTGAAAAGCAGGTAAATGGGAGCCTGTCAGGTTCCACTGGTCTTCACTAAGAAAAATCACTTTGTCCCTGAACAGTGTTGCTAAGTGATTGAAGTATCAGCCTGCAGTTCCTGGTCAAGGTCATGTGTCTGGGTTGTAGGTTCAATCACTGGTCCCAATCAGGATGCATGCAGGAGACAGCCAATTGTGTCCCTCTCATATCGATGTTCCTCTCCCTCTCACTTTTTCTCTCTCTCTCTCCCTCCATACTCTCTCCCGTCTACTCTTTCTAAAAATCAGGGGAAACAATATCCTCCAGTTATGATTTAAAGAAACAAACAAACAAAAACAATAAAAAATAAAAATAAAACCATTTTGGGTCATTCTTAACCTATAAGCTATCATGATCCAAATTTTGCTGTCTGTCTCATTTCTCTGTATTTTTCATCTAGTATAACATTTGCTTATAGTTTGAGGGCACACTATACACCTCTTCAGTTTTCACAATCTGATCATGAGATGGGTTCTCATTTACAATGGTCCACCCATTGGAAACACTCAAGGGTCATTCATTATTAATCTGATTCCTGCTAGTTGTGCAATTTGGAACTGTAATCATATTTGGGGACAAGGCTGTAAGAACCCAATGGTGTATATTACAATTATCTGATTAAAATTTCATAGACCAGGAAGACAGTAAGAATATCATAAGTAAATTTCCTGTGCCTCAGCAGCAGTTATACAGGGCCACATTTTATAGCTACTTCAGCATCATTTGAATTAATATGGTTAGTAGTCTTTGTTGGGTTAGGGTATAAGCATATCCCATAATTAGGTTCTGGCATTTCTACATAAAACTTCTCAATATTCCTTTTCCACTAGCCTCTACAGCTTCCCTTGTTTTCAGTTTGCCTCTTTTTACTCATTCAGACATAATTAACTTGTTAGGTCAAACTACTTACTTTTAACTTCTCTTAAAAACACCCAGCCTGTCTGGCGTGGCTCAGTGGTTGAGCATCAACCTATGAACCAAGAGGTCACAGTTCAATTCCTAGTCAGGGCACTTGCCTGGGTTGTGGGCTCGACCCCCAGTGTAGCCAATCAGTGATTCTCTCTCATCATTGACGTTTCTATCTCTCTCTCCCTTTCCCTTCCTCTCTGAAATCAATAAAAATATTTTTAAAGAACACTCCCAGATCTCTTTCCTCCTTTTGCAATAGCATTCACTCTACATTTCAAAATGTTATCAGAAATAGAAGCCAGGCCCTGAGTGAATTTGCCTAAGACCAGCTGGTAGTGTGTAGGTACTTGACTTCATGCAGGAAAGATTGCAGAATATGAGTCCAGGTGATTTTGACACTACGTTTATTAAAGCTGGGGACAGTGACACAAGGAAGGGCCTGGGATACAAGAAGCAGTAGGAGAGAGACATGGTGTTGCTGCTTTGGCTCTCTGGAAACTTTATGGGAGAGAAGGGAGCCTATGTAAGGCAGCTGTCAGCTCACTGGAGAGTTTGAGGCAAGGGCACTTGGGGACAAGTTCAGGGGGTTAGCCCAAGATGAGCTAGTGCTGCCTATTGTTCCTGTTGTTGCAAGTCTCCTGGGTATCACTTATGGTTTAGGTGAAAGAAAATTCACTGGAAAAGGAGATTTGAGTGGGTGTGCCCCAAGAGGGGCACATGCTGGCTTCTTTGCCTTGAGGGGTTCTATCTACTTTTCTTAGGTGGGAACTTAGGTGAGGTCTCAGGGAAGATCTCAATAGAATATTTATCAGCATTTCCAGGTTTGCCCTTTCAGATCGTGGCCTCCACTGATTGGTCAACAACAGGACAGGAGGTTAAGTCACACACCAATGGTATGCCAGGGGAGGAAAGGCCACCCTGAAGGCAAGGTCTAGGATCAGTTTTTCCTGTTGCTAGGTACCCGGGGCTTTCTGCCCTGGTGACCTTCTACATCTGGCTGTAATGTGCTAGGCCAGTTTATTCAGCTATCTGTCTCAGTTTCTCCATTCTACATGCCAAAGAATTTTCCTAACTTCTTAATGTAATTTGCATACATTTCTTGTGAATGGCTTTCAAATATTTCTGACAGACTAGTGATGTGTCAAATGAACCAGTCACTAATATTCTTAAAATGGATGGCTTCTAGTAAATAAGGTTCTTATTTGTTTTTTTTTTAAGGTTCTTATTTATGCAGGACAAAATTGTTCCAGTTGAGCTAGAGTTGGCAGAAAAAAGAGGGATGTTCAACAGAATAGTGTCATCCATGGGATTAACAGCCAGTTACACCAGAGGGGGAAAATGGAACGATCAGGGAAAGACTCCTGCTTACTTAGCCCCTCACACAGGTCCTGGATCTAAAGTTCTGGAACCCTTGTCCTGTTCTCACCTCAGGGAGTCCTGCGCTAGGAGAGGTTTGTGAACTCCCTCAGAAGAATGAGTACAAAAAGATTGGAGAAAAAAGGAACAAAGCAATTGCTTCTTTAAAAATCCATCCCCATTAACAACACCACCATAATTTAGAAGATTTAATATTGTTAACTGTCCATACTAGTCAAAGCAATCTGCAGATTCAATAAAATATATTGTAATCCCAAAGGCATTTCTAAACAAATAAAAACTATCATTCTCAATTCATATGATATCTCAAGGAACCCTGAGGATACAAAACAATCTTCAGCCGTTTCCTGAAAACCAGTATTTAGTGTAGACTTTATTGTATCTGTTTAGTGCTACTCACATTTAAGCCAACTTTCTGTGATTTCTTTAAATTCAAATCTCTGAAGTACATCATAGATGGAGAACCTTTCTCTGTGAGCTACAGGGGTGGAAGAGGGTTGGTCCTGTTCATTAGAGTAGAGAAAGACAAAACCTCTTCACACTCCTTCTCAGCTCCTTTAGGTTAGTTTGTTGTGGTGCCGCCCTCTGGTGGCCGTATTACAAGTTGCAGCTCCCAAATAGGGCCAAACCATTTTTTCTTAAATTTTTAAAAATT